AAGGGCAAGGTTAGAATACTGAAAGAAGAAAAGGGCAAAATAGACTTAACAAAACTTTTATTTTGAAAAATCAGAATTTTTTTAGATAAAGGAAGAAACACTTTTGCTAGACGTTTGTTATAGCCAACATCTAGCAACTTACACAGAAAGCAAAACAAAACATTTGCTAGATGTTTGCTATAGCTAACATCTAGCAAATAACACAAAGCAAAATAAAACATTCGGTAGATGTTTACTATAGCCAATATCTAGTAAATAAAATGAGAAGAAAAAGAGACTTTTGCTAGATGTTTGCTATAGCAAACTTCTAGCAAAAAAGACTGAAATGGAAAAGGATTTTCGCTAAATGTTCACAGAAATAGGTGAAGACACACGTTCTCTAGATGTTTGCTATGGCTAATATCTAACGAATTATACAGAAAAGACTAAACACAAATAAGGGGTGTTTGCTATAGCAAATACAAGTCTTTGCCATAGCAAACAATATGGGAACACCCCTTACTGTAAGAACTACACAACATAGTAATAAATCCCTCATAAGAACTTCAAAATCACCCAAACTTACCAACCAAATCAACAATTCAAGGAAAAGTACTAGACAATCAAAATCACTTAATAAAAACCAATTAAAATACTTAACACATTTAAAGATTAAAATCACAACAAGGTCTCTTTTAACAGCACATGTATCATCAAAATTCACAATCAACATCAGCAAATAATGCCTCTAACTTGAAAAAAAGATATCAACCAACAATAGCACTCAAAATAACACATAACAAGTCAGCTAACTCGAAGAAATTCTTCACCACCCATCAAATACCAGCAAGAGTTAGCGCAACACTATAAGAATGAATTAACAAATATAATTCCACTTTAAACTAGAGCCATAATAGCAAATTTAGTCCAGTAGCATTAGTACTACTCAGTAATAATAGTGTTTAATGTGGAATTCCATTTAAATCCTAAAATCAAGATCATAATTAGAGAAACTTCCCTGGCAATGAAATTCTATCTTTACTTCACATTTTATCCTCTTTTAACTTTAAAGCTTTTGTTGAGGGATACCTTTCTTACCTATAAAAGCAAAAATAAACCATAAATCTACTAAAAACACACCACACACCACAAAACACTAAACATGAACAAGAAAAAATAAAGAACTTGGGTTGTGAAACATCCTTCCTTAAACTCAGTTTAGTATGCGTTTGGAAGCATTACAGTTCAAGCAGATCTCGAAACAAGCCGTAGATTGAAAATTTGCATTTGATCACCTCGGTTACAATTCACTAAAAAATTTCATATTTTCGATTCAATTTTAAAAATTCATAACAAATTATAGAAAAATTGTTTTGAGGTGGTTCAAAATTCTATTTGAAGCTCTTTCGATTTTCTATAGAGAAAAATATAAATTGGGGCTTAATTCTTCTCAATTAACACAGCTAATTCATGAAACTTTACTGTTTATTTGGTAAAAACTGACTTTCTAATTTCTCTACCCTAACTTTAAGTAGTCATAACACTTAGCACACACATCCATTTCATATGATTTGCCACTTGTTTTAGACCAAGCCTATGGGAAATTGATTGGGCCATAAGAGTAAGAATACATTACCTCTTTGGGTAGATGATGACCAAGGATGAATTTGAGATATGGAACCTCCTCCAGTGGTTGACTAGTATAGAGAGAGTACCCTTGACTTTTCTATGGATACCGTTATTGTTGATTAGATCAAGCTTAATTCTATTCTGGTCAATGAAGGAATGTTAAGAAAGTAAGAGTTAAGAGAACCATAGGCTTTAAGTCCTAAATGGTACGTATTCAAGCAAGTTAAATGTGAAATGAGAATGTAAAAGAAAGGAAATAGCCTTAAAGTAAAGATGAGAATGGCAGGATATGTCAAAAAGAATGGTTGAAGACAGTGTTTGAGGAACTTGAAGTGCTATGGTATAGTAAAATACCATGAAAATAGGTGCACTGTCGCAACATTATCATGAATGGATGGGCCTAAAGTATAGGAAAAATACGAGCAGCAATGATAAAATATGTAAAAGCAAAGGCCATGCTTGTATAAATGACAGAAATGTAGGAAACAAAAAGCTATGTAAGTATGAATTCCAGGGTTGTATGATAGAAAAGTAAGGAACGGAAAGCTATATAAGTATAAATTCCAGGATTAAAACCTGGTAATGAGGTATATTGAAAAGTTGAAAAGGCCAAGTTGAGTACAAATAAGGATATTCTCCTCAGCTAACCTCTCGTTAAGAGTAAGAATAAAGGTTTGACCCAGAAATTTCAAGAATGAAATTTCGTTTGAGAGGAGGAGAATTGTAACGTTCCAAATTTTGGGCCTACAAGTGCCAAAATTAGCATGAAATGGGCAGGCTACCGGACCTTTTTGGCAGAAGTCCTAGAGGTTTCCTGGAGGAATAGAGGGATTTTCAAGGACTAAATCGCAAAGGAAAAATTTTTTGGGACTGACAAAAGAGAAAGTTAGAGACTCCAGTGAAGTTTCAAGGACCAAAAATGAGAAATAGAGATTAATGTAGGCCAAAGGTTATGCTAGAGGCCCCAAGAAGATGAATTATGGGGTTAAGCCAAACTAGGAGCAATATCGTAATTTTGTGAAGTTTCGGGCCGACAAGGGCAAAAATAGAAATTATGCCAAAAAATTCCTGAAAACCTTAAAAAATGGGAAATGGCATGTTAAGGCTTGTATGTGAAGGGTCCAATATAAGGACTTGAGGTAATCAAGGGCCAAATGTTGTGCTAGGAACCTTAATAAGAGTATTCCTAAGGCTAAACCTGAGTAGGGACCTAACATGCAAATTTAGAAAGTTTCAGGCCCAAAAAGAGTAGTGATAGAAAGTAGGCCTAAATACTTTAGAAAAATTTTAGAAAAATAGGAATGAGGTCCAGAGGCTCCTATAAGGCTAGTAATGACAAAAATACCCTTGGAAGGAATTTGTGGAGTTGTAGAGTTTTGACTAATTTTGAATATTAGCGGAATGGAATTATTTGAAACATAGGGAGGCCTCAAATAATTGGACAAAAATGGGAAAAAATACTTGAGGAATTATCACAGGTTTTAAAAATAGTTCCATCCCCAGAAAGTAAGAATATTGGCTTTAATAGAATTTAAAGCCTATGTATTATTATCTTGGAAAGTCAAAGTAAATTGTCTAGAGGTTGACTTTTGACTTAAAAAAAATAGAGAACTTTCTTGTGATGAATAAATAGTATTGGTATCTAGAGACAAATTCTCGGAGTCATGGACTGGTAGAAAGAATTTGGTCAAGTTTACTCCAAAATAAATATTATTAATTTTTTAATGAAAGAACAAGGGGAGAGCATCACTTCCTCTTTAGACATGTTATATAATGCCATGTGGACCCATTTGAGATGAGAAAAGGGTACGAGAACATGTCCTATTGGTACCAGGTAAACCAGGACCCGAAAAAAGCACCCGATATGGTGCAAAATAACAGGATAGGTGGAGGAATACCTAAAAACTGCATTTTGCACGAATTTCTTACTAATTTCCTCCCTAGTTTAATGTTAAAATGATGAAGGGACATGCAAGAGATACGTGTTGGTTGGATAAACAACATGTATACGGTTGGATGCAACATGAAGTATTAGAATTGAAAATAGAATTTTTGAACCTTAAAGGCATACCTTTTGGCCAAAAGGAATTCAAAGAGAAAGAGTTGGATTTTGTTAAATCCAAGCTCATATTTGGATTCCTCATGAAAAATTGAGTAGGAAATGGTCAAGAGAATTATTTTAGAAATTAAGAATAAGGAAGTGAAAAGTTAGGGTTAAAGAGGAATCATGTTTGAAAGTAAGAGTTATTAAAGATTACCATGGTCCTAATAAGTTGGCTATTCACATGTTAATATGATTACGCCCATGTGACATCAAGAAAGATGAATGGAAAAGGTTGACCAAGAAACCTTAATGGTTGGAAGCGAATAGAACAAGAGGAAGTAAAAAAAAAAGTTTAAGGACACAAAATAGCAAACTTTACCCTACTCTTATATACTTGGTATTTGCTTACATGCATAACATGTTTCTGTGTTTATGTGAATTTATGAACTCATATATTGTGATTGTGAGTTTATGTTTTTATGACAAATGCATGATGATTTCCAAACATATCATTATGTTATAAAGATGTTAAGTTGTAAGCATGTTATTAATACCAAGCTTGCCATGTATGTTTAAGTAGTTATTGTTTGCTACTGAGATTCTGCCGAATCTTACTCTCCCTTAACCAACCATAATAGGTATAATATGTAAAGGAGGAGGAATGCTTGAAGGAGAACAAAGAAAGAAGAGAAGAATGTGATAACTGAGCTTATATAACTAATGTAGCCCTCATATTAACGTATTTATGAACATGCCCCTCAATGTTATGAGATGTTAAATAAGGATGATGGCATGTATAATTTGCTGTGATGATGTATGAGAATGGTTAGTGCATGGATGGAATGGTAATATGTATGAAAGGAATTAATTATGAATTGTTATTATAAGTAAGGGGGATAAATTATCCCTAAACGAGCCACAAAATAGTGCTAAGTGAAAGTGAGGCAAACGATTAAATCTGTAGGTGAATTTGGTGAGCATCTAGAGCATATCCTAAACTTTAAAAAAAGTGGTAGATCACCTAAATGGATGTGTGTGCTAAAAGTTATGATTGCTCAAATTTAGGGTAGAGAATCTAGAAAACGTTGTTTTGACTAAATGAACAATAAACTTCCATGAATAAACTGTGTGAATTGGCAATGGTTAAGTCCATATCTATATTTTTTTAACCATAGAGAATTGAAAGAGCTTCAAAAATATTTTGAACCACCTCAATACGATTTTTTTATAATTAGTTATGATTTTTCAAAGTTGGACAAAAAATCTAGAACTTACCAATGAATAGTAACTCGAGAATTAACTCTTAAGTTTTCAATCTACGAGCTTGTTTTGCAAACTGCTTGAACCGTAATGCTTCCAAACGTGTACTGAAGGGGGTTTAAAGAAGGATGTTTTAGCTATAGCAAACAACACAGAGAGCACCTTTTGAAATTACTTAGCTTTGGCTATAGCGAATGACATCATTTGCTATAGCAAAGTACATAGCAGAGATCTTCCTTACTCTGCTTCTTTAGATTCTTTTCCAATTGGTTTCCAGCTTTGTTCCTTCCATCTTCTTAAAGCTTTTAATCACTACATTTGTATCTTCAATCACAACTTAAAGATAATGAAATTCTAAATAATCTTTTACACTTTTCTCTATGCACAATTTCCTTGGCAATCTAGATTATGCATAAGCTAATCCCAGAAATAGGCAAATGCAATGAAAAAGTGTTAAAATAGCATGATTTCTAAGAGTTAACAATGGTCCTGTTCCTAAGTGATATCATTTTGAGCATAATAGGAATAAGATTTTATAGAAATCTTAGCAGTAAAGAATCACAATAATAATGCCAACAATACAAGGTTGTCACATTAAATACACAAAACATTATGCCATAGAAAGGAGGCACATAAACATATCATAGTAAACTCTAACATGCATATTACTAAGGCATTATAATACAAGGAGTTCAGCACATAACATCATTAGTGGCTCAATCACATCATGGCCTAAATCACATAACATAACAACTAATGCAAGTTAACATTAAAGTTGAGTATTTTTGCTATCTTTTACTAAGTTTTGATCCTTGACTCCCCTTCCTTGAGTTTGAAGCCTTTCTTGACAATGCTTAATCCTTATCAATCACACAATAAGGGTACTTTAAGTATTAATACATACAACTTCAATAAATCCTCCCAAAACCCTTAACCCTTATCTTTGATTTGAGGGTCATAGTATCATCTTTCTTGAAATAATTTCCACATGCTTCTCCTATATGATTTTTTTAATGTAGAATCCTTATTCATCAAAATCCAACTCCTTCCTTTAGAATTCATCATGGTTGAAACATATACGGCGAAGATTCAAAATTTTCATTTTCAATTTTAATGCTTCCAATCACTTTTTTTTATATTACCCTACATAATTTTTCCTTCTAAACTCATTGGAAGTATCAAATTAACAAAAATAAACTCTAACCTTATAAATCTTAGGTGGCCAAACCATATGCTCAAGGGAAACAAGATGAACTTCTTCCATAAATCATTCAATAACATGATATTCAAGCCTCTTCCTCCCTCTTAATCATCATATTTATTTCAAATCATGGTTAACTTATCTCATAACTACTTGGGCAGCAGGGAAGCTTAGGGTTTCCAACTTCTAATCTTCCTCAAAACCATGTTTAAGCTTAACAATACATAGGGCAACATAAATTACATCAAAATCCACAACCTTACCTTGTATTGAAACTTGATTTGGCTTAAGGCTTATTACTCTTTTTCTTCTCCTTTCTCTCTTCAAAATTTCATTCTCCCTCTTCTTAAACCTCAATTGGCTTAAAATTTGCACAAATGGCAGGGGTAAGGAGTACTTGTAATGCCTTGGAATTGAACCATATTGGAATACATGTTCAAGTCTATAACTTTGCCCTTGAAGTTGGTAGATTACAAGGCAATTAATATGTCATCTTTCTAAGCTCCCATATGGTCTTAATCAAAGTGGAATACAATTTGGAATCCAAAGCTAGATTGGAAAGTGATTTGGAATACAAATTAATACTTTACTTCTTTCCAAGTTTGCCCTCAACAAATTTTAAAATTCCAACATCATCCTTTCATATTTATGGTGCCAAAAATAGGGGAAAATAGGGAGGGAAACTATCAAAAAATAAACCCTAGACCTTTACCCCAAGCGACATTGCAATATTACACTGTATTGGATAATTTTTAGGGTTTTGACTTGCCTGATGGCTCTAACATGTGTCTTGATACTTTTGTCCTATAATTTCATTTCCTCTCTCATCATTAATATGTTCATGTGGTGTAATGCTGATGATAATTAGTTAGAAATGACCCCAAGAAAATTTGTCCTCCCTTTAGGAAACATCAAATTACTTTATTTTACAATAATTTTGACCAAATGTTTTGTTGATGTTTCTTAGTTCCAAAAATTGACCACCTTACTGGCGGCAGGCCATCCAGGCAACTGGATGCCAGTGCTGGCCACCAGTGTAGTGGCTGCTGGTAGAGTTTTTTTTTTTGGGGCCATGTGAGAAATTATTTAAGAAAAGTAGTGGGGTGAGATTTATCCCACTACCTCTTAGTTATTTGGGTCAACAAAAAGAAAGGTGACTATTGACTACCAATGATTTGTTAACTTTATAATACAAAGAAAGAAATATAAGTTGACTTTTTTACTGTGACTCCAACCTGTGACAACAATTTATTTGAGAATAACAGGTCTTGATTGAGAAATGACAAGTCCAAATTTGATATTAACAAATCATTTTTTTTCTTGATATATAATAGGAAATAAAATGTGCATTAATTAAAAATAACAAAAATTTATTTGGGAATGACATGTGTTGATTGGGAAATGATAAGTCTAAATTTGATATTAACAATGTGTTTTTTCTTTATACATAACAGAAAATAACATATGCATTAATTAAAAATGATAACAATTTATCTAAGAATGACATGTTTTGATTGGGAAATGACAAGTCTAAACTTGATATTAGCAATTTGTTTTTTCTTGATAAATAACAGGAAATAACATGAGCATTAATTAGAAATGAAAATAATTTATTTGAGAATAACAAGTTTAGACTTGTGACTAACAAGATTTTTTGCCTGATACATACATAACGTGAAATAACATGTAAATTAATTAAAAATGATAATAATTTATTTGGGAATAACAAGTCTTGATTGCGAAATAATAAATCTAGACTTAAGATTAACAATGTCATAAATGTAGACTTGACAAGTCTAAACTTCTGAATCAATTAAAAATTTTATTGTTAATCTCAAATATAGACTTGTCATTTTCAGATAAGTCGTTGCCATTTTTAATTGTTAATCTTAAATTTAGACTTGTCATTTCATAATTAAAACTTGTCATTCTCAAATAAATTGTTGCCAGTTTTAATTAATGTACATGTTATTTCCTGTTATGTATCAGAAAAATACACATTGTTAATATTAAGTTTAAAATTTTCATTTCTCAATCAAGACATATCATTCCTAGATAAAATATTATTACGGGTTGGAGCTACAGTAAACGAGTCAACTTAAATATACATATATTTTGCATTATAAAATTAATAAATTATTAGTAGTTCAATGGTCATCTGTTTTTCCTTTTTTTTGGTTGACTCAAATGATCAAAGAGCTAGTGGGATCAAATCCCACCTCACTACTTTACTTAAATAATTTCTCACATAGCGAAAAAAAAATCTATCACTAAAAAAAGCTCTACCTATAACCATTACACCGGTGGCCGGCATTAGCATCCAGTCACTAGCAATGGTTGGCGGCTAGTCACCGTCAGTGGCCTGCTGTCAGCAGGGGGTTTTTGAACCTTTTTTTAAAAGAAAAAACCAAAGAGAAAATTTTGTCATTTCTTCTAAATTTTAAAATTTCAATTTAAGAATAACTCCTTTCTCTATCATTTCTAATAATTAATTTCTTAAATTTTAATATGCTAATTTCAAGGTTGTTTATCTGTCCTTTTCCCCGGACGAATTATCTCACTTTAAATTAGTCTTAAATTTTTTTCCCTGACAAAACCTTACCGTCTCTCTTCCCTCTGTCTTCCCTTCTCCGTAGGCGCCTCCCCTGGCTCTTCGATGAAGATGATGATCTAGAATGAATAAAGCCTTCCAGATCCGTCCTCTCCCCAGCAACTTGTCGACGGCGACTTTGACTTGGCCCTAAGGTTGCGACCTAGTTGCTCTCTGTCTCTGCAGACAGAAATCCGAACCTTGCCGTTGCTCCGTAAACGGAAACCCGTACCTTGCCGTCATAGGCACAACAATGAAGTATGTAAAATGGAACAAAACAATACAAGGAATATGGTATAGTCCCCATATGGCTGCTGCTTCTCATGCCATCTTAGAGAGGATTCCATTGGTTAATCTTATCATGGAACTGAGAGATGCAAGGGTAGCCTGCTGTTTTTATGCTCTCTGCATACTGAAAATTATATTATTTCAAGTGCTTGATCAAACCTCATTTACTTGAGTTTTTGTCCGTTTTTATTTTCAGTCATAATCCCCCCCCAAAAAAAAATAATACAGTCTATACTTTATAGTTTTTCAAAATTGTTGTCAATTTTAACATTTGGCAGGGTTGATTACAATAATGCTTTACTGGAGTAACTAGAAATGTGCATTTTTTTTTGTTTTCTTTTTAATACTTTTTTAATGAGTGGGATTTAACGTTAATTTTAAAAATAGAAATGGAAATTGAAAAAATATTTTCTTGCTTCTTTTAATTGTATGCTAAAATGAGGACAAAAATCTTGCTTTGGTGGCAATTTTTTTTAGGATTTTTTTTTCTTTTGCTCTCCAAATTCCTTTTCCCTAGTTTCTTAGATTACTTTAACAGAGGCATAAAGTTGGCAATATTTTTTAAATTATTGTTTTCACTTTTTAACCTTATTGTTATTTATTTATATCTTTGATTTTAGATTCCATCATCTTCAGAATATGAGATATTGAGAAGCTACCCAACTTCCCCAAGACACATAATAGTGCTGAACAAAGTGGATCTTGCTGATCAATCAAAATTACAGGTGACCGAAGCCTCTTGCTTCATTGACTTTGGCATTTGGACTTTTATGGGCTGTCTGAAATTTATTCCTCTGTTGGATTCATTCAGTTGTATTTGAGTTGGAAAAGTATTTCTACAATACTTTTGAATGAAAAAATGCAATTTATGAAGGAAAATAATTCAAAAATATGCTGATAGATAAGCTTAATTCATCATGATATGCCTAAATTGCATCACTGTGACTACTATTTGTGCCTTCAGTTGGAGTTGGACTCAGGTTTGATTGGCAATGCTCTACTGGTTATGTTGTGCACACCCAGTTAGCTTGTTTATTATGCCGTGAGTACATCTTAAGCTGCTCGTCAACCTCTTGAGTTAATGCCCTGGGTACTTGAAAATTGTGTCATCATGACTATTGTGTGCTTTTACATTGGAGCTGGACTCAGGTTTGGTTGTCAATGCTCCACTAGTTACTTTGTGCACTGCCTATTAACTTGGTAATTATGCCTTGGATAGATCTTAAGCTGCTTGTCAATCTCTCTGGTTAATGTCTTAGGTTACCTCTAGTTTAGTCATAGGTTGGGATTCACATAGGCTTAGGTGTTGGTGATTATGGACCCAAAACTTTTATCTTTCCTTTAACTGTGCATAGGACCAGCGCTTTACTATTCAATTTTGGTGTATCTTTCAGTTTCCTCATGTTATTAAGTACTAGTTTTATGAAGACTCTAGGAGCCAAAGGTAGCACATTGGCTTTAGCACAGATGATTTATGGCATGCCATGTGGTGGTGGTGCCATATCTAGGCAGAGGCCATGTCAGCCTATGATATGCCTTTGTAAAATTATTCTTTCCATCGCAACCCTTATGACCAAGAGATTCTCAATGCCTTTCTTGTCACGAAAGAGTAGGACAACTAAATTGGCTTCAATGAGTACTACTTCTTTTTCTTAGTGGGCTCTTATATGGGCAAGTCTGTGTCTCTAATTTTCCTAAGTTCTGAGGTTGTGATGTCAAAAATGTAAGCTCCCTTTGAAACTCTCCTCTGTAATATTAAAACGCAGGTGAGAAAACACTCAGAAATTTAATGGTCACATCACTTATTCCCTTTGGCTATGTCACTTAATTTGGATTTAGTGGAAGGACCATTTAAGTATGCCATGAACTAAACAAAATTGAGAAGTCAAAGGAATCCACATTTCCCAAATTAAATGCAGTGCTACATGGTAGAATTGACTGTTACTAAAGGCAATGCACTAATATATTGCAAACACATTACTGAAGGTTTTGGCCTGATTATTTCATAGCTCAGCATTTTAAGATTATCTGCCTATTTCATGTGCTTAAAAATCTTCCTTTTGAATCCTTAAGTAGGAGCAATCAGGGATAGTTTAATAGGGACAAAAGAAGTTGCTCAGTGGTTTTTAGTTATACTCAACAGGGGTGAGCAATACAAGAATTGGGCAAACTTATCAGTCGAGGATAACGATAAGCTGTCTCTTGACCATACAATGGAATTTTTGAATAGCTCTGAATTGTGTATGAAGCAAAGAAGGAAAAGCCTTCCAAATCATACACAGGTACAAGCTATTTGAAGTAAATTTCTATTTTTCCTTGTATGTTGCAAGGTTTCTTATCAAGAGAGGGCATGAGGGCTGAAATAGGATTCTTCCTTTGTTCTGTAGTTTTGCATCATTTGAATATTTTATGATACTCTCTAAAAAGGCTCATGGTTTTGGGAAGGCTACTCGTCATTATTACGCTGTTTTTTTCCCTCTTCTCATCGATAACTTCCTAGCTATTCGCAAAAAATTAGGAATCAACAGAAAGATTAATGGAAAAAAAACTATTCTAAAATAAAAGCAACTTTGACAAATTCTGTTAAAACACTAGACTACCAATAGAAAAAGAGGGCAAATAACCAATGAAATTCATGCCTTTCAATTTAGATAAGTAATTACAATGCTATGGAGGATGCCTGAAAATTGTTTAATGCGGCAAATGCAGAGGTAAAAATAGATGCAAAGAAAGCCACTCCAGGAGACAACGAGAATAATTGTTACAATGGTGGCAGAGGCAAGGTGATGATGGGCTTGTGTCATTGGGTTGCCTCTGAAAAGGCAGCCATAGGATTTACCATCAGCTAGTAAAAAATTTGAGTCAGACAGATATTGTCATAATATACACACTTTTTTCTTGGGGAACCTTACTAAATGACCATTTACATAATTATTTGAGTCGTTGGAGATCTCCTTAATCCGTATCATGTTATAATTGTCAAGGAAGTTAGATAAATTTATAATATCATGTTAGCCAGCCAGTGCAATAAAAGTTAATGTACTATGTGCGTGAAGACCTCTATGCAGAACTAATCAATAACAGATTGCCTTTCATTATCTTCATCAATAATAAGCCATAACTCTCAATGTTGATGGATAAAGTTACTATTCGAACAGTCTTTGCCTTCCATTGTATAGAACTCAGATTGCATTTTGTAGGATCATGTAGTTCGCGATGTTCAGCGAACTCGAAACAATCTCAGCATATGAAGGGAATATAAATGATGGAGAGGAAATAGAAGCCCTTATTTCTCTACAGTTTGGAGCATTGTAGAAAACATTTCAGGTTTCTGCTGAATGTCCAGAGGAGGCTAATGTCAAGGTGGGGAAGAAGTTGCTTGATCTTTTCCGTACTGGGCGTCTCGGGTATTATACATTAGATCTTCTTCCTGGAAACATCCAGTACTGATATATGCATTATTCTGATAAAAGGTTTTTATAGTAATTGTAACCGTGAGAGAAAGGTAAATTCCTGAATAGTTAGTTAGTAGAGAGAGAATAAGTGGGTGACGTGTCTTGAGGTTGGGATATATACTATGTATTGCCCTAATTTGGTTTCTATTGAATGAATATTCTGCTTCTTTTCCTTTGCTTCTATCATAAAAGGTATCAGAGCCTTTCTCTCCGGCCATATGGCACCGCCGGAGACTCGATCCTCGACTGATCGTCTGGGTGACATTGAGCGTCGGTTAGACCAGCAGCAAACCATCCTTGATTCTGTCACCACTCGTATGGAACAACAATCATCGAATATCGCCGACCTGAAAGTGACGTTACAAGATATATCCACCAAGCTATCCAACCTGCATTCTCCATTTGCGAAATGTCCAACGTCCGCCGATGAGGTTTCCCAAACCCATGCTTCCCCCTGTATTCCTGATTTCGGTTCATTCCATGAGCTGCACAACTCTGGGTCTTCTTCCAGCTACTCGATTGCCACAAAACAGAGCCACGTTGAGTTTCCAAAGTTCGACGGCTCTAATTTCCGTGGGTGGGCATATCGAGCTCGCTAATTTTTTGAGGTAGATGGCACACCAGCTGACCAGCGCATTCATCTCCTGAGCATTCACCTTGAAGGTTATGCATTGCGGTGGCATCAAACCTTCATGCACTACCGCTCCTTTGCTGATATTTCCTGGGCCGAGTACTTCAGACAAATGGAGATTAAATTCTCCGATGTGCGAGATGAACACCCTCTCATTACACTAAAGAAGCTTCAACAACTCTCTGCTTCAGTTTCTGAATATGAGCAGCAGTTCGACGAGCTCCTATCAGAAGTTGACATTCCTGAACCCGTAGCTATCAATCTCTTTATTGGAGGTCTTCGGCCTGATATACAGAAGTTCGTCCTCAATTTTGCCCCATCTACCTTGACGATGCAATGTCTACTACCCATTTGCAAGAATCGACCATTCACGCTCTGCACGAGAATACACCGGTGTCTTATCATCGTTCGGCCCCTCCAACAGGGAGTTCTGCATCTAGGTTTCAACCAGGTTCTGCATTGGGCCCAAAAATAAGCCCATCCTTGGATGCTACAGGATTCTCCAAACCCAAATCCATGAACCAGTTTTCGACCCAACCGAGCGTCTCTGCAGCGGCTTCATCATCTCCAACTACTAAATCGTCTGTCTCTTCCAAACCCACCCGCCAACTCTTGAAACGGGAAATGGATGACAGGCGTCGGAAGGGGTTATGTTACTGGTGTCCAGAGAAGTTTGCTCCAGGTCATTGCTGTAAGGAGTCGCACTTGTTCACGTTGGTGATTGATGAAGATGATGAGCACTTTGAGGATGCCATAGGGGTCGCCCAGATAGATGCAGAGGGGTCGATCAATGCTATTAAAGGGGACGACAAAGCTGCTACTCTGAAACTTATGGGCTAGATAAAAAACCAGAAAGTGATCATTCTAGTAGATACCGGGAGCACGCACAATGTGCTGCATACTTCTGTTGCTAAGCGGCTCTAATTAAAACCCCAAGAGCATAGCGCCATTCGACTCACTATAGCGGACTCACGGCAGGTAACTGTGTCTAAATGCTGTCTAAATTTATCTTGGGATATGGGTAACTCCACCTTTGTTGTTGATTTTTTAGTAATGAAAATTGGTGGGTATGACATGATTCTGGGCACCCAATGGCTGAGAACTATAGGTCGTTTTACTATGGATATTGATTTGCAGTTATTCGAATTCACTTATGGGGGCAAGAAAATTGAGTTGTGTGGCTTAGGTCATGCACCCTCTCCTGTCATAACAGAGCTCACTTCAAACCATGATATTCTCACTGCTGCATGCATTTTCCTTCTGAACGCGTCATCCTCCATGCACGTTGGGTTGTGTAATACTTCCCTACTTCCAGAAACGTGTCAACAAGAATTACTCCGATTATTGGACACCTATACTGATATTTTTGAGGAACCGAAGGAACTTCCCCCTTCAAGGCCTTATGATCATGCTATTCCACTTCATAATGAATCTGGACATCATAACTCATGAGAAGTCGATGACTCAAATCGGCTTCCTCTACCGGTATCCACACAAACAGTGTTCCAATCACGAACGACATGCTAGCGCCTCTTGTCCTTCTAGGGTTTGCAAAACCGTCCTCACCTTTCTATTTTGGCCATTTCTTATCTGCAAACCCTTTGCACTCTAACACGCCCAAAACCCTAGCTCCTAATATCAAATATATATAGGACGCTAAGGATATTGGATTTCGGAATTAATCCTAAATTAATTCCGAAATTAATACAATATCACATATTGCGTAATCTGATAAGAAATTAATTAAATAAATACGGTTTTTATATTAAATCCGTCTTACAGATTTAATTCACCTATTCATTTAATTCAAAATAAAGATATAACGGAATTATGTTTGATTTATTCTAATAAATCAAATTTGAGATATTATACCTTATCAATTTAAAAAATGATATAGATTTAATTTATCCTTATAAATCAAATCTTATAAATATCTCTTATATCATATAATATATATACGTGAATTTATATATATATATATATATATATACACGTCTACCCTAGATTATTCATTGAATCTAGACATATCTTAGATTCAATGAATCTGGACATCATAACTCGTGTTGGGCTATTTTGTGTGCGACCCTGTAGGCCTATATGAAGTTGGCAGTGGGCCATTTACTATAATGACTCACAAGTCGTAAGCGGTCTCTAGCAAGACATCACGACTACCCAAATCATATGAGGATCGATGAACGATGTAACCTTTCATACAACCATATCATGTTGCTTTTGTCACACGACATTTTGGTCATGGATGAGGCATGGAGAACGTCATCCTCCTATTCCTGACCGTCACTTTCTCGATCCCTGAGTAGTCTGAGTATAGAAATGGAACTACCTTTCCTTTACAGAATGGCCATACATTTTTCAGATTCACTCGTCGAGGGGCCCAGTAATATCTCTCTACGAATGTGAGAGACAAATTCCATCTTGACCATTCACATTCCTCTATATGAAAAACCACTAAGCCTGAACATAGTCTTTATGATCATTCTGTCAAAAGTGACTTTTGACTAGGTCAAAGCTGAGCGTTTCTCATGTAGGAATCCATGATGATCTCAGGTCAAAGGGCATAGTGACATGGTTTGTATATGAGAGAAGCTTATGACTTAACCCATGCAGCTCTCTCATAGCGGGTCGGTCTATCACCTTGTACTCTTACATGTGCCTATGACTTTGATTTATATCTCTATACATCTTTAAAGTCCTACTGGTCTTATTTCATCTCTGCTCCCACATAAATGACCGACCAGGAACATTTAGGATAAAATCATGAGTTATCCAAGGATAGTCATCGCAGTAAACATGCAAATAATATGATAACATAATTAAGAAATTCATAAATCAACAATGTTCATTACACAATGATTGGTCCCTAGGGCACAATTTCCAACAAGTTTTGCCCACCAAGAAGAAACCGCTTTCTGCATATGAGAGGGAATTATTGGCTATTATCTTTGCTGTCCGGCAGTGGTGTTCTTACTTGTGCAGCCATAAATTCATTATTTAGACAGATCATCTCCCACTTAAACACCTGTTGGAGCAGCGAGAATTGAATCAAGATCAGTTTAAATGGCTTCATAAATTGTGGGGCTTGAATTATGAGATTGTTTATAGAAAAGGTAGTGAGAATGCAGTTGCAGATGCCTTGTCTAGGCGTGTTGAGGGATCCTGTTTGGCTTTAACTCGACCTGTTTCTCCACTTTATGAGAAGGTTCGGGACTCTTGGTTAACTGATGATCATCTTCAGAGATTAATTTCAAATCTAGAACAGGATCCTACCTCCCACAGTAAATATACTTGGCAGCATCAACTGTTAAAATGTAATGGGAGGTTGGTTGTGGGTGCTGATAGGAACCTTCATCGTGACTTGCTTACATTTTTTCATGAAGACAGCATTGGTGGGCACTCTGGACAGCATTCTACTTTTGTGCGTATTTCTTCCTTCTTCTATTGGAAGGGGTTAGAGAAGGATGTTAGAAACTTTGCTCTTGAATGCACTACATGCCAGTGCTTTAAACCAGAATTAATCGCTTCTCTAGGGTTAATTCAGCCTCTACCAATTCCGGATCATGTGTGGACAGATCTCTCTATGGATTTTATTAGTGGCCTTCCCAAATCCTATTCTAAATCTACTATTTTAGTAGTAGTTGATAGACTCTCAAAGGCAGCCCATTTCATGGCTCTCAAACACCCCTTTACTGCTGTTGATGTGGCACAAATTTTTCTAGATAATGTGGTCAAATTGCATGGGTTCCCTAAGTCAATAGTGTCAGATTGAGATCCTATTATTTGTGGCAAATTTTGGAAGGAGCTGTTTAGGTTATATGGGGTTAGACTCCAATACTCTTCTGCCTATCATCCTCAAATGGATGGGCAAACAGAAGTTTTGAATCGTTGCTTGGAGTGCTATCTTCGTTGCATGACTGGAGATTTCCCTAAACAATGGGTTAAATGGCTGCCTTTAGTAGAACTTTGGTATAATACTACTTATCACTCTTCTATTGGCATGTCCCCTTTTGAGGCTATTTATGGGGTTGCACCTCTGGTTCATTTGCCTTATATTGCTGGGGATTCTCCAAATGATCTAGTTGACCGCACTTGTCTGTCCAGGGAGCTAGTTTTACAGCTCCTTAAGCAACATTTACTAAGAGCACAGCATAGGATGGTTTAGCAAGCTAACAAAAACAGATCTGAACGTTATTTCAATATCGGGGATAGGGTCTATCTGAAATTGCATCCTTTTTGAAGGAATTTATTGAACAATGCTTCCCTCCACAAGCTTGCTGCCCGTTATTTTGGTCCCTATAAGGTATTGAAGAAAATAGGGGTTGTCGC